ACCGGTGCAGCAGTCCAGTACAAATGCTGAACTGGCTGCAGTGATTTAGTGCAAGAGGAATACTAGCTTCCTCTCCTTAGCCTTTCCTCTCCAAAAACAGGCTGAATACCTTGAGCTTTGAGATGGGGAATGAAACAAGAGCAGGACAATTTTTATGTACTTGTTTGCTGCTCCGCAAAGTGGGAGTGGCAAGGCAGAGAACAGCTTTTCATAGACTCCTAGAACTAACAGACATACCGTTAAAGCTGAAGACATGTTTGATGCCAGGCCACGTAAGCACATGGTGCAAAATCTTATCAAAATCATCCGCAGACTGCCCACTCTTGACTGGCCAGGACTTCACAATAATAGTTGATACAAGCTGACTCAACTGGCCCATGTCGTAGGAAGATACTTGCTCAAGCAGATTGCTCTGAGTCTGCACAAGGTGTGTAAGACAGAGAAGGAACACATCAGTGTTTTGGATTATACTACATCCACCTTTGTCTTGGCATCGGGCACTGGTGTCAAGAAGTCACACCTGCAGGAATATGCCTCCATATTCCAACAAAGCCGCATGACATGACTGACACCAGAAGCCCTGATGGCAAAAGCGCTGCAAGTCTCTTCATGGACCCTTTGTAAGTGGATCCTGATTTCTTGTCAATGTTCTTTTTTGTTGGTTTAACAAACTTAAACAATCCACAGCAACTCAAGCAATTAGAAACTGAACGTGCAACTCTCCTTCCACCACAATGCTCATCCCTATGCAACAGGAAATTTGGCTTTGCCTTTTCCTACCTTGAGGGAAAATACAATACCTGGCAAGCCACGGCCACAGCCTCCGTGGCACAGTTACTGAAACACGAGTCGATGGAAGAGTCAAACTCCGTAAGTCTGTGGTGCTGAGCGCAGTAGACTAAGATTTGGTTCACTGGAGGCTCCTACAGGGCAGAAGGGAGATTTCTTATCAACTTACAGTTTCCAAAGTGTTTCTTCTGAAAGCATTAAATGCTGCTATCAAGACAATAAGAGGAACTAAGAAGAAAAATTTAAGTTTCCTTGTGGAGCCAAGCATCAGCCCATTTATCAGGGCCTGGAAGAGAGATGAAACACAAATAAATGCTTGGAAAATCTTTCCATCTAAAATGTGCAGTTATTTAATATGCACCTCTCCGAGCCAAGCTTCCACCAGGAAATAATTTGTTTCCTGATTATACCATGAAAATCAATGGCTTAAAGAATTTTGCAGGTGATGTAGAAAGGAGATGAGAAGATATACAAGTTCAGTTCCAAAGGGAGCTACACATTTGGGCATGCATTTGGGAGCCTGGACAACACAATTTCTGCGCAATGAATGGAAGGAGACAAGCGCCAACTTCGCTTCTCTAAGTCCTTGCGTACTTACTTTACACCCACTGTTTCTTAGAACTATAGTGGTGGTAACTGCTCAAAATGTGCAATTCCTTTTAAAGCATCAGGGTATCGGTCACTGCTAGAAACAGACCAGCACTGCAGCCAGGCTAGCAGGCTACTGGAGTCTCTGACAGCAAGAATACACCATGGTACAGTTTCATGTCCAATTTTTGAGCCTTCAGAACATGGTTTATAAAAGCAATAGCAATTTTTATTACCATAGCCACAGTGTTTTCATGTGCCCATTCAGGCTCTAGAAGCTATTCTCTAAGCGCAGCAGAAGACTGCCTATCCGCTCAGAACTTGGCCCACCAGCATGGAGTCACTCCCCATGGTCCTCCCTACCTCCTGAATTCTTTTCTCCAGATCTGCAAGCAAAGTCTTCTTCCACCTCTCAGTGAACTGTTCATCTGGAAAGCTGATCTTCACAAATTTGTTCCAGGCCTGCAGGCGAGAAGCAAAGCAACCCAAAGCACTAAGTGCTGAGATTTAACATTCAAATAAGGAAATTAAAAGAACTATGCTCCACACTCCTCAGACAATCTGCAGTCCTTTCAGATGTTTCCACCCAGAAGAAAAAGAGCACTCCCAGAGCTGCAAAAGGCAGCTTTTAAACCCAAACAGTGTTGAAATGTCCCAATAGCTAAAGGAGACATTTGGATGAACCACTGACACCTTGATGCTGGAAACTGTCCCAGGCAGGGCTAGGAGCAGAGCAAGTCAGACTGTAAGGAGTTGTTCTGTGCCTTGCCTGCTGGAAGGCCTGAAGAACAGCCAGGACACACAGGGTGAGCTGGACAACAGCTCCAGCTAAATACCAGCAAGGGGCAGCTCCTCATCCCAGCAATGGCTCTTGGAACAGCCAAGAAAAAGGAGAAATAAAGTGAGCTGAGCAGCACCAATTACAGCCCCTCGCTTTTCAGCCCAATAGCGTTTAAAGCAATGCAGCTCCTCAGCTTGTAGCCTGTACTGCCTCTCCCCATCTCATCCCTTACCCAGCCACAGCAGATACAGTTCCCAGCAAAGAGCCATTAGACTAAAGACCATACGGTTAAGCTACAGTAAAACACCTTTTTATTATTATTTTTAGAAGATGACAAACCTCAAGCTCCCAAGCAAAAGAGAACATTGCATTCTCTGGGTATTCTTTCAATAACTTCAGGTGTAAAGCATTTCTGAACCAGGTTCGGGTATCTCTCAGAGCTTCATTGAATACTTCCACACCTGGAACTTCCTGCACGGCATCCCTGGGATCCTGCTGCACACACAGAAGAAAACAAAAACAACAACAAAAAAGCAGGAGAGCAATGTACAACTGATTTAAATAAATATTTCTAAAAGAGATGGCATAAATGCATCTAAAGCATAAGCATGCCCAGCAACAGAGACCCACCACTGCTTCGGTAAAGGATAGAGGGAGGCTAGGAAAATGCAATGCTTACAGATAGTTTGTGCTTAAGAAAGCTTATTGTGAGAAGTAAAGACAATGTATGTTTAAGGGGAAAAAAAACCTAAACAGACATAAAATAAAACCCCTGACAGCCAACCTAGGCATTTGACCTTATTTGCAATAAGAAGAATCAAAATCATTAAAATATTTCACAACTTTTTGAAAGTACTGCAACCTTGGAAAATTTAGAGTATTAAGTTTTCCAAATTGAAAATTGATATGATCTAAAACCATTTTTGTAATACTTCAAGATATCTTGCCCATGTTGACGCATGAATTGTTCCTTGGCACTCACTGCTGTGGGCTGAAGTTTGGCAACTTTCGAAATCATCATGGCAGTCGTGGCAGGAATCATGAACCACCAGCCGTACTTCAAACACTTGCAGAGCTTCTTATACAGCTTGAAGCAACACATCAAGCAGGACCGCCAGGAGTGAGCTTCCAGAGCTCTGAAGGACAGCAATAAAGAGGAAGAATTTCTTTTCTGCTCAGAGGAAAAAAAAAATTTTAAAACCTCCACCAAATTCAATATGGTGTGGCAACTAACCACCCCTCCCTCAGATGGAATTAAAAAAGTGTTTAAAAAAAATTGACCAAGGGATAGAAATAGGGGGTTCTTTCAGCCATATCGATTTCAATGCACACATTCAAGCTACAAGCATAACCCCACCCCACAGGCATGGTGTCAATAAAAAGGACGATGCTCTCGCAAAAGCACACGTCGGTTACCTGGCCTGCTTCTCATCCAAGGTACACAGCAGCGTCTTTAGAAGACTCTCTACTACCTAAGAATGGAAAGATAGAAATACTAAACTGTGGAAGAAATTTTACAGACTGGTTCCTCATCATTTGAGGAGATGCCTGTGAAAGAGGGAATTCAGAATTCTGCCATGCCTTCTCCAACGCTTTATACATACCCTATAAAAAGTGATTTACACTGGCTGTCAGAGTCAACATATAGGTGGCTATTATTCATACAAACAAAACCTGCACTTCTTGCAAACTAGGGATTTAAAATTTATTATTAGTTGCAATGTCCAGTTGCTGCCGTCCTCAAATACAAGTGTTTTCATGACAGGCAGGAAAAGCTCTCAAATCAGCGGCACCTTGCCCAAACCCCCAAGAGCTGTACAAAAAATAGTTTCAGGCAGCCATCTAAGGATCTCAGGACTAAAATACTTGCCATCAGTGACTAAGAGCAAAATCCAGATAAGCAGACCCTTCTCTCATCAATGTCAACAACATTTTTTGCTACAGATACAGCCTCTCATCTCCTCTTAGGAGTCTCCTACTTCAGAGCAATTATTTTTTCTTTCAGCTAAATTTTAAGCTCTCTGTGCTCTGACTTGCTGCCAACCACGTTGCCTTCAGTGACAGTCAGTTCTACCAAAAGGCACACTACAGCCCAACTTCAGCTTTTACCCCTGAGCTGGGTAAAGGTGCCAGAAGACAAACCTTAGAATTCTTCCACGAAAGGTCAACATTCTCTAATCTGTAAGAAACACCTTCAAGAGTAGTTAACAAACCACTGGGGAAGTTTTTTATAAATTCAGCCAGGCTCTCCAGGGGCAGCACACACATCCAGGACTTGACCAGAGTCGTATCAAATTCCATCAAGTATATCTTTTCTTTCATTAGTTGCAGTAGGGTCCCCCTGGATGGAAGGCAAAACAAAGTCTCCAAGTTTGGAAGGTACAAAAGGCTAAAAGCTTGTTCAGCCCACAGAGGACTCTTGTTCTCACTCTTCAGCTTTTTTCATTTACAGCTGAAGATCAGTAGAAGACCCCAAGACCCAGTAATCGCAGAAGCAGTGTCAAACTGCTGAGCAGAAGTACTCAAGGAAATTAAACTCCAGGTCTTGCTCAGATTCTGCACATCACATACCATGAGCTGCTTTAACTCACACCAGGCATCACCAACCACACAAGCTGCTTCATGGCTTGCGGAATTAAAGGGTATTTCTGTCTGAAAGGTAATACACTGCACAGCTTTGCTACACACCATAGGCTGAGCAACCCATATGGTCTGCGTTCATATATCCCAAACATCCACTATGAACATGCTATGTTTCTTATTTTTTAAAAACAAGAGAGTTAGAAAAAAAAGATATAAAGGTGACCACCACCAACTACAGTGTCAAGGCACTGGATATAACTGGTAATTCTGGAAAACTCACGTATCGTGCCTCTTCCTTGTTTCAGCAAATGGAAGCCCTTCCAGCCCTGCCCAGGCATCTTCCTCTATCGGCAAGTGGTCGTGCTGCGAAGGAGCAGCAAAGAAATGCAGAAGAGGAAGAATCCACACCCACTGGTCTACTTGGTCATCAATGCATCTCTGGCACAAGTTTGTCAGGTGAACATTCAAACTATAAAAAATAACCAAAACAAAACAATGCCCAAAAATCCACACACAGTAAAAGAACAGCTTTTTACAGGAGCCAAGAATGTCCTTGGGGCAGGGGGCGGGGAAAGGCTACATCTCAATCTTGCTATGTACCTTCAAATAACTTCTGATAATTATTTTAGCTCGATCTTATCTTTATTGAAGAGCATATATGGTAGAAGTTTAAGACTCAAAGCTGTAATCGTACCTGAACCTCTCTGCACAAACCCTACTTGTACGGCACCAAGAAGTGCCAATACTTTGCCTACAGTTTCCACGTGAGCCCCACCCAGCTCAGTCAGGATCCGGTGACACAGATGCACAGAGCCAGGCATTCTAGGGACAACTCTCTGCCTCCTTGGTTGGGCTAAAGTACTACAAAGGCCTCCAAAAGGGAATTTAATAGCTGCAGCTGTGCAAGTGAAGAACTAGAAATGTGAGTGCCAGATAAGCAGTTAAACAACAGTCTAATAAGCAGGCTCTCTGAGGGAAAAAAATCAACAAAAAAATGTGTAATGATGCACATCAGAGGAGACAAGAAGAATCCAAACATGGCATTTAAATTTAAAGGAGTAAACACATGATGATCCCAATCACTGGAGTCTCTAAGTATGAATAGCAAAGAGGTAAGAAGCTAGAAACTGCTCGACTGAAAAGGATAACAAATAAGATTTTTTATATATAAAGAAACAAACTCAATTTTTAACTCAATCTACTACCCTGGCAACAGTGACAAGTTGCAATAAGGGGAATCCTTTTTGGACAAAAGTAAAACATTGTTCACATCAATAAAGGTATGCAACTGTAAGAGGGCCCCGGGGAGGTTGTGCAATCTTCATCCCTGGAGCTTTTCAGAACTCGACTGCAACCTTGCCTGGACATTAGCTCTGCTTTGAGCAGGAGGCTGGAACACAGACCTCCAAAGATGCCGTCAAATCTGACTTTTTTCTGATCCTCTGACACTAGAGAGCCGAATCCCGTATTGCTTTATCACAGGGTACTACGCTTGCAGCAAAGCCAGCCCAGTTAGTTGCCTTGTAAGTGCTCCAGTAACATACACACCTAGTAACTGCTGCAAAAGCCTTTTTGATACGATGAAGTTCATCCAGTGAGGCTTGTTGTGACACCTTGTCCAGGCACAAGAGGCTACACAGGTCAGCCAGATCGCTTTTCAGTGCTGGCAGCCCAAGCAGTTCAACTACTGTAAGAACGGTGAGCCCCAGAGCTAGTTTACTTTTTATTACTACGTCCTCCTGCGATGCTCCTCCACCCTCTGGTGCAAGGAAAGGAAGAGCTATTTTCCTCATATATTTTAGCAGCAAATCATTCACCTAGGGAAAAGAAGGGAGGAAACAAACCAGCCACAGGATTAGTTCCCCAACAAGTCTTTTTCCTCTGAAGCCATTTTCTTCTGCTGGTTACAGCGCGGACACTCAATAGCCCTGTACACCCCACAGCACCATGGTGGTACCAGGATCTAAGCACACATGGTACTGACCACCACCAGAACATCAGGCGTGGTACTCCAGTACCTGTGATGGTTTCGTGCCCCTCTGGGCTACCAGCTCCCACCACTAAGCTCCTGCTACACCTTCCCATGCCCAACAAAACTGGGGAGCATCAAAGGGCTGGGGCAGGTGTCAGGAATGGAACTGGTGAGCTGAGCAGTGCTGCCTTATGTCACCATCGCACACCACAAGCAGGCTCCAACTTCCCACTGGGAATCAGGCTTCCTTGGGAATTGTCCTCAGCCACAGCCCCCAAAAGCTACTCTGAAACCATGTTTGGGGATCCAGAGTACTGTGGTGCTTGGCGATGCCAAAAATCACCCTTCTGAAAACTGGCAGCGACATGAAACACCCGTGGGCTCTGCTGAGCTGGGGGGCTATGCCATCTTGTGGTCTCTCCCGTATCACCAGGAGGAGGGAGGCTGTGGAGAGCTAGAAACAAGCAGCCCCACACCGGTCCAAAGCCCCAAAAAAGGTGATGTGACATTTCCGCTATATTTGATAATTATGCCAGGCAAGAAATTCAGGACTGCTTAGAACTGGACCAGGAGGAGCTCGTCTCAGAAAAGGCAGGCTTAGAATCCAAGGCAAGGCCAGAGAAGCTGGCGACAGAGTGACTGGCAGCAAAACTAAGTGGCCAGGCTTTGGAAATTAATATCCAGACACAAAGCCCACTCAAGTAAGAAAGTCATAGAATCACAGAATCGTTTAGGTTGGAAAAGCCCTTTAAGCTCCCCCAGCCCAACCGTTCCCCTACCCCTGCCATCCCACCACTAAACCCTGTCCCTAAGCACCGCGTCTGCCTGGCTTTTAAATCCCCCCAGGGATGGGGACTTCCCTGGCCAGCCCCTTCCAGCCCCTGACAGCCCTTTGGGGAAGGAATTGTTCCCCATGGCCAACCCCACCCTGCCCTGGCACAACTTGAGGCCGCTGCCCCTCGTCCCATCACCCCTTCCCTGGGAGCAGAGCCCAACCCCCCCGGCTCCCCCCTCCTCTCAGGCAGTTGTAGGGAGCGATGAGGGCTCCCCTCAGCCTCCTCTGCTCCAGGCTGAACCCCCCCAGCTCCCCCAGCCGCTCCCCAGCAGCCTGGGGCTCCAGACCCCTCCCCAGCTTCATTGCTCTCCTCTGGACATGTTCCAGCACATCACAGCTCTGCTGCTGACCAAATTGAGATATTCAGAAAGGCACCTAATTGCAAAGGTGTGACTGAAGTTCCCAAGGCAGAAGGTGGCAGTCACCCCGAAAGGATCCCCACTGCTTCTCTCAAACCTGAACTTCTTGACCAGAAAAGCAAAATTAATTTTGCTGTTGACCTTGTTGGGTTAAAGTTCTGTGTTTAGTAACTGAATGTCTGTTTTCTAGTATATGAAAACAGATTACCTGCTGTTTGCCAAAGTTTAGCTCTGTCCATAGCATTGCCGTGCCGTCATGTACCAATGGGTCTATTGTAACGACATAAAACTGTCTCAGCTGTGCAAAGAAGTTTCTCAGGTTGTCGGGACTCCAGGTTCCAAGAATGCTGAAGATATTTTCCAACATAATATTTGCCGCTATTATCTTCCCTCGCACTATGTCTTTGTTTTCATTGCCAGCAATCTTATGCCAAAAGTTTTTCATTGTAGAAGGCTTTGCACACACAATATCATCATACTGATGCCATTCTAGAATAAGCAACAGAGGCGAGAACACAGGAAAACAATTGTCTGAGAAACAAACATGTACTGATCATAGAATCACAGAATCGTTTAGGTTGGAAAAGACCTTTAAGATCATCAAGTCCAACCGCTAACCTAACCCTGCCATCCCACCACTAAACCATGTCTTCACTCTTTCAGCTGTCCACAGAAATACCCCCACTGACCCATTAAGTTTCCAGCTGCAGACAGTGTGGTCTAATAATAATGCTTCATCCACATGAAGTTAGAGATCATCCCACCAAAAACCCATGGATCATCCCAATACGCACATCCAGTCAGAAAAGCTCACCTCTGTTGTTGAGCAAGCAGTGTCTTATCAATAAGCAGCGATTCACATGACCACCCACTACTGGACGCTTATAAATAAATTCATACTGCCCTTCACCACAGGTAACCCAATATTTGTAAGGAATGCATCTATCAATATTTTCTTTTGGAAGATTTGCAGTGCCTTCAATGAGGTATCCATGTTCTCCTAGACGCCTAGGAAACACAAAACACAGCAAAGGACATGTCAGCTGATCTACACACTTCCTTTTCCACAAATCGCTCAATTTTTAATAGGAGTGGTGATTACTCTTTCATGATGAAAATTTTAGGATGGTTATCTCCACTATGAAAACCCTTTGTAGCAATACCCACCTATGGATGTACAGCTACAGTCTTACGTATTAAATTAAGTATACACTGCATCCTGTTCTCCAGAGCCAACACTCCTGTGCTTCTGCGTGACTCAAGAGGATACTTACTTGCTGCAGTTCAGCTCACAAATGTGGTCCTTCCAGTTTGCATAGGGAGAAATGCCTTCAGCCCTGATGAACACTTTATGGGTCTCGGGGTTTAGTCTGAAGTCTTTGGACAATATTGCATGGAAATACACTGTAACACCATCACTGCGGTTCACAGAACTACAAGAAAGAATTAGAAGGAAAATAGAAAGAATTCTAATTTCTTTTTTTTTTTTTTTAAATGGCACAGATCATTATTATAAACAACAACAAAGATTTGAACCACTAGCTTACTGGATGCAAGACCCCTCAGCTCTGTCAGCAGTTCACTCAAACTGATGCTACATAGCAGGCCTAGTGTAAAGCCTAGTGAAAAAAGGAAAAATGGGTTCCTAAAGGCAGCATGAAATGCTCTGGCCATGTGCATCTGGGTCACTGCGCGGGTAAGCCAACAGGAACACCTCACCCAACAGAGTCACCTGAAATGGCTAAGCTTTATCCCTCTTCCAGCACATACACATTAAGCAAAACAAGTAACACTAATCAGAACAGCTCTTCACACCATTAAAGTCACACATGTGAAGCACATGTTGCTCATAAGAGTAAGAAATGAGGGCGATCATCTTTTTGTTCATCAGATACTCAAAAAGGTTCAAGTACCAAGGGTACCACATTACCCAGTCTGCGATCTGTGCTGCAACTCATGATTAAACATTGGCTCCCTTTTGCATGAGCAGTAGCTTACCTTGGTTTTAAGGCTACATATCCCAGATGCATGCAGATGTAATCGTAGTACTTCAATCCCCTGCCCCAGTCTGCAGTCCCTTAGTCCTCCTCACACCAAGTCCTCTAAGCAAAAAATGCTGGGGAGCAGCAGGGGTGTTCTCACCTTTCTGTAAACTTATCCACGGGTTTCTGGTTCCTTTCTTGCTTTTTCTTCTTGTCACTGTCTGCTACAGCTGAAGCACCATCCTTCCTCGCAGCCTCAGGTCCTTTGGTCTGATTTGCCTTCTCAGTCACTCCATGCATTTTCTCAGTGGGGGTCGTCTTTTTCCCCTTTGTGTCTTCATTCTGCAATAGGAAGACAAATAGTGCCCAACTAGACTGGACACCCTGGGTGTACAACATCCATAGAAATATCCAACACCTCTTCAGACGCCTGGGAATATCCAGAATTCACAACATACCAGCTAGCTTCATACTTCTGGAAATACCAATCCCTCACTGAGGGAAGCTACTGGTTAAGGAAAATAGTGCACGATTGCAAGAGGAATCCAACCCAGACACATTGGCAAGAAGTCAGATCAACAAGTCACAGGTCCCCAGAGGATGGGGCGTAAAGAAAATGGAAGATAACCATCAGCAATTTACAACTTAGCAGGCCTGTGGGTGAGTGGAGCACAGACACCTACGAAGCACAAAGCTCTCCTGGTCGGAGGAGACCTGACAGGGCTCACTGGAAGAGCTGTCTGGAGAAGGGACAAGTTCACAGCTCCTGGGGGTAACCAAGCAACCTCTCAGTGAGAGCTGTGCTAGAACTAACACACAGGAGAGCAAAACTTGAAAAAGAAACACTTCATAGCGTTCCCCGCTTTCTCTCCATATCCCCAGCCTCGTGGTCTTTCAGCTTTACCAACAGCACAAAAGAATCACAGTTAAAGGGAAGCTTTGCCCAACTCAACCAAGCACTCACCCGGGTGTTCACTCACACACTTACTTTGGAAGTCGAACAGCTCGCTTTCTGGCTGGTGTCTTTATCCTTCCCAGCCTGCGAGCTCTTGACCACAGGTGGAGCCTCTGTGTTTTGACCTTGATGTTCAGCAGAAGGAGTTGCAGGCTTACTTCTAGGGTCTCCTGCACCAGGAGACGACCCAGAGGAAACGCTCTCTCTCTCTCCTGCTGAGGCCACTTTCTTACAGCCACTTGAGGACTGGGAATCTGGTCTGGTTTCTGGAAGCTGGCCAACATCAGGGGCACAGCTGCCCCCTTCCACATTACTCCTGACCATTTCTCCATGCTCTGTGGTACTTCCACCCCCGACCTCCTCCTTTGAGGCTTCAGAGCTTGGAGATGGGGCAGTCACATTATCCATGCTGCTCTGCTTTGGTGGGGTAGTCACATCTACGCTGCTGTCAGTGCCTTCTGCAACCGCTTCCAGACTTCCAGCTTCCTTTCCCAAGCAACCCAATGCCCTGTCGCTTTCGTCTGTGCCTCCACTGTCACCAGCAAGTACATCAGCACCCGGTTTGGCTACTTCACCGCCCGAGGTGTGGATTTCTTGTGGAATAACACATGTATCAGGCAATTCTGTGGTTTGAGCTGGTGCTGTGCTTACAGGAGGCAGAGAGTCCTGTTTCCCAGAGCTGGAAGGACCCTTCTTTGCTTTATTCCTCTTTCTTCTCTATTGAAAAAAAAAAAAAAAAAAAAAAAAAAAGGAGGAACAACACAGTGTCTGTTTATTCAATGTCGAAGAGAAATTCTTTGTCACCTCCTCCACTGCAGCTAGTATCAACACCTTCCTGGTACACTGGGTTAATGGAGAACAACCAGGAAGAGAAGGGACGAGACCAGCCACCATCTTCTATAGCAGGTGAAATGCAACTCTTGAGAATTCTGTAGCTTTTATTTTCAAGACTT